TGGTTTAAATTTGATATTCGGTATTTTTTTCTTAATGCATTGTCCATGTATCATAATCATGATCAATCTTTATTTTGACTATACACTGAACTATCACACCACACCACTAGCGAATTACCTTATTGTTTTTCTTTGTACATAAATCTGTTTTTTGTAATACGCTGATTAATATCAATTTTTGAGTCATCGTTATGTCATCCTTATTCGTAGCTTTTTGTTTTATTAAAAGTGTTACCGGAAATGATAAATGCATCATCAGAATCGTATTATATCGAATTAACAATAATAATAACAAATTTAGAGAAATTACATTCAAGAGTTTTATCAACAATCCTGATTCATTGATCATGCCGTTCGAAAAAAACTCTATCGTCTTGATAACTGGTTGTTATGTGTATGAAGAGAATATAGAATACGTATATATTGATTAATATTATTATTAACACCCAAACTATTGTAAATTCAGCTCATGTTTTGTTGTTCCTTCTAGACTACGTTAATTCAATCGGTTCCTGTTTCTTATTTTGATGATGAATACACTCTTACTCCGAAAGATCTCCCGAATTCATCTCCCTTATTAATTTACTCGGCTTCTGTAGTACCAAATTCTTATATTCCTGATAATAAAGGGGTCAGGAAAGTTTTATGTTGGCAAGGCGTTTGTATAATGGAATCACTAACAATAAACATGTTGACTCCAAAGTTATTATATCATATATAAATGAAAACAATTGTTATAATGCTCTAAAAAATAATCTAAAAAAAATAGTCTTATCTGTTGTAGATCATTTGAAACTTGGATCAAAAAGACTTCCTTATATTCTCGCTTCTGATATTGAATGGACTTATGCGATTAATGACCCTCAATCTTCGCATGCTTCAACTATCAGGAAAGCATCTTCACAAGAAGATTTCGATACAGACTTGATAATATTGAAGAAAAATATGCTACATTATCTCACTTGCTTCAAAAAAGACAAAGAACTAATATGCAAAATTCTTCTCTTAACAAACCTTCAAGCGATAAAACTACATCCCTAGGTTTTGCCAAAGTCGCTTCGTAGATTCAAAAAGAAACTTCTTCTACTGAATCTCCTCTTTTACAATCTACTTCGCAGGCTATTAGTACAGAACCTAACACTAAAACTCCTATTCACCTTGTGCCTCATGTAAATGAAAATACAACATTTACTGATGATAATGATTCTACCGAACTCGTATATACTGATACTCCTGTTCCTCAAAACGAAAAACTTGATAATAATAGAAAGCGTTTAAGGCCACTTTTATCTGCAAAAAAATAGAATGATAATTATTTATATTATTGTGTTTTTCTTTATTATATAAAATAAAATCTATTTTTTTTTGTTGTTTAATAATAAATAAATCGATTACCAAAATCCAGAGTTTATCATATTATTTACGATAAAGTTGTGTTATATAATTACAGTTGGGGGTTTCAGATAATTAAGTTTCATATGATTTTTGTCAAATTATATATAAAATTATATATAAAATACCAAATTTAAAAAAGTTCTACCTACATTATTACGTCGTTTGATTTGAATGTATCATCCGAATTGCATCTTCTAAATTGCTGAGAAATTATTTTCGTGTTTAAAATTACAATTAAGTGAAATTTCGATTTACCAGATCTTACATGATATTACGTGAAATTACATAAAACTATTGAAATTTAATGTTCTGACTTATGGTTTAACATTAACATTAACATATTGTATGTTCGAACTCTGATTTAAAAATTATATACATCTGAAAAAGTAACAACATTAAGATCATTTTTCATTTTTATAGTTCTATGCCGCTTTATTACAGACCAATTAAAAATTAAATTGAACTTACCAAACTATCCGAACTATATCGTCTTTTTAATAGTTATATACTAAAATTCTTACAATAAACCTGAAATTTGATAATTTCTGATTGATCAATTGTTTATCTATTTATAGCATATACCGTAATTATACCAGAACTTGAATATTGTAAAAGTCTTGAATTACTTTAATGGCATATTAATACATATACCTATTTTCCATTTTTAGTATAACAACATTATAACCACATACTGCATACCTAATTACCGTATAGGTTACACTCTAAAATCAGATGTAACTGTAATACGTATGTATGTAAATCCTGTAAATGAGATATGCCACATTGATGAGGCTATAGAATACCAAATATGACTCACAAAATGATGATAGATGATTAACGCAAAATAAAGATTGATCATGATTATGATACATGGACAATGCATTAAGAAAAAAATACCGAATATCAAATTTAAACCA